TTTCAAGCATTATTCAGGTATTTTCACTTACCTGTATGCTGTTTTGTTAATATAAAGATGATGAAGATAAAGATGAAGGTAAAGATGATGAAGGTGTATAATGAAGATGAAGATAAAGATAAAGATGATGAAGATGAAGATAAAGATGAAAAAGATGACGCACATTTTCTTCATGTTTTTGTGCCGTTTGTCTTTTATAGGCAGAATGATAATTCATTCTCACACAAATAAGCGAAACATTTCTGTTTTTTCGTTCGCTTCATTTTTTCATTCTATCATAACAGATGCGTCTGAATGTCGACATATGCATCACATTAAAATGTGCTGTGCGCTAAGGCTCCAGCACATAGTAGATCACAAAAGACTATAATGACAAAGCCCGTGAAAAGCTCAATCGAATGAAATATAAACCGGAGTGGTTAACGGGAAGATTAGTCACTATTGTATAGATGAACAACGATGATCTACCGGTTTCCTAGGAAACTGCCGACTATTTCGGATCTTAGGCCACCCAGTCACATCTTCTTAAGATCATCTTATACACCATGACAAGAAAATGTATCCAATGTATCATCAAAATGTAAAAATCGTTTTTTAATTTTTAAAACAAAGTAAATAATTATGCTACCAATCACGCCCAACAGAAGTGCCCATCCGGGCTGCACAAAGCCAGCTGCTGGTGTAATTACCACCAGTCCAACGACCGCTGCCGAACACGCGCCCGAAATTGTTATTGTTCCCAATATGGCATCAATGACTACCCATGTTACCAGAGCAGATGCAGCTGCTACATTAGTGTTGATAAGTGCTAGTGCTGCAAGACCATTAGCTGCTGATGCAGAACCACCATTGAAACCACTCCATCCGATCCATAAAAGACAGGTTCCTAATAGTGTAAATGGTAAATTATGAGCAGTATCATGCTTATTCGGGTCATAATCGTGACGTTTTCCTAGTATTAATGAAGATACTAAACCTGCCACTCCACTCGATATATGGATTACAGTACCACCAGCAAAGTCTAGCGTTCCGTACTTATGTAACCAACCTTGATAACTGAACACCCATCTTGCTAGTGGATCATAACAAACGGTCGTCCACACGGAGATAAATATCAAATACGAAACAATTTTCATTCTTCCAACGATAGCACCACTGATTAATGCTGGAGTGATAACCGCAAAAGCTGCCTGATAAGCTACGTATGTCAGTAGAGGAAAGGTTGGAGAATTATTTGGATCATCACGTTCACCATACAGATGGGACTGATCACCGGGAAATCTCAATGCACCAAATTTAAACGATCCGAATGCACTGTTGCCAGGACCGAACGCAAAACTAAATCCAAATAGGCACCATTGAGATGTTACAATCCCCATACAGATAAATGACAGAAATAATTGATTTAATATATTTTTTCGATGAACAAGCCCACCATAGAAGAAGGCTAATGCTGGTGTCATCAAAAAAACTAATGCCGTCGCTGTCATCATCTAAATTAGGAAACGAACCATGTTGAAGAACTTCTTATGTGAGAACAGTTAGGATATTAAGGGCGCCGAATCATTATCAAAGTCGCTCAGAGCAAAATTAATATGATTACTATGTTATTTTTCGATCAATCAGTTCAGTCTCTTTTCTATAAGGGTAACTCTTCTACAAAGTGTCAATTCTCTAGATAAAAATAAAATAAAACCAAAACACTAACCCATGCATTATCTCCAGAATCAAGTGTTGGATCAACCAATGGATTGACTATTGCTGTCGTGTTGGTAACTTCAGCCATTTCAGTGATACTTTGAATTACTTTTTACTTTATCTTGATACTTCACCGACTCTTTATTTCGTCTTTCTTCTACGATATCGTAATTTAGTTGATCGGATTCATCTCCTATACGCTTGAATGAGACCAAAACTTTCAAAATGAAAAAGAAAGTATTTAGTCATTTCTTTCGTAGGTACCTTGTTCTTTCGAACAGGTTTGACCAAGACGGAACAGTATCAATGTGACTCACAAGCACCAAAACTGACATTCTTTCATCATTGAAGCATAATCTGACGCTTGAACTCCTAGGCCTCTAAACCACGTTAACTGTTAACAGTGCTGTATCTGATGTATTTTAGCATTGGTTCTATTGTCTATTGCAAAGTGTTTGCCACGAATAATGGCAGATGTTACCGCTGTAATTGTTCTTGAAAACATCATATGCACATCTATTATGAAACGAAACTATGTATGACATATTTAACCATTCCGAACACAAGTAATATTGATCCCGTACAAGAGTTGGATAAACGAATAGAAAGTATGAATGAAGAACAAAAGATTATTATTGAAATATCGACGAGACTTATTCAACATTTAAAAGAAAATATCCTAACGGTGTTCAACGACCTATTCACTGATTACATGAATTACTTTGTTAGCGAAGAACAGTTGAAATGTGACATGGGTGCGAACAATCAGTTTGTTTTGAATGTTTAGAAAAAGTACAAGAATTATATATTCAAAAGTTAAAATCATCCGCCAATTCAACAATAACAAAAGGAAAAGGCGAAATAATGAACCTTTAGAAAATAATGCAGACTCAAATATTTTTTGAATAATCGGAGAATGAGGTGATGGAAACATGCAATTTTCAACATTTTGTAGAGAAAGTTTTACTGCATCTTCTGATATATGATAGGTTTTCAAAGGCGGATTTTCCAGTGGTGTACTTGACTGAAGAGAAAAGAAAAGGTCGTCATGTACCGAATCGTAAATAAATGTCAACTCAAGTTACATGGTTACCTAGCCCCATAGTCCGAAGTCGAAGTGGCCAGCTGCCACGGTTCGGGAGCAGCAGCAGTTTTGCTGGGATCAACCGATCTCAGTTCAGTTAGGTCTGATGACCTTAAAAATAACACCGAACATAGATTTTATCCACCGTGTTGTCCATGTTGCTGAGTCTCGTGTGTAATATTTGTGTTCAGAAGAAGATTTCATTTCATCATAAAGTATTAAAAAATTTGTTTGTTCAACTAGTTCTTTATCTTCTAGCTATCGATTTCTTTGGGAAAATTCACGTTTACTTACCTGTTACCTTGCACACATTTTAACTTAATCTCAAGGAATACAAAAACATAAAAGTGTCAGTAATGAGAATATTTGTGTTTTCTTATGCAGACCCTGAACATAATAAAAAATCGTTCTTTACAGATTGTCGCGCTGGAACTGGACTTCAAAATGACTATGAAGGCTAACATTAAAAAGTTAATTTTGTGGATAAAAAAGTGAATTTTATTAGACAGAAAGGGTAATCCATAAGTTTCGGGCCATCTAAAAAAAAGTTTTTCTTTCTATATTGCTGTCAGTTCAAAAAAGCTCAAACTTTAACATTTAATGTCTTACAAGCAGGTGATTATTACTGTGAATTTTTGTAACTGTTCTGTAATATCAACCTATATATCTTACTTACTAATAGAGCTAGAGATACAAAAATTCCTAGTAATAACCATCTAGTTGTAAAAGATTAAATGTTAAAGTTTGAGCTGTTTTTGACTGACAGTAAGAAAGAAAGAAAATCCTCTATTCCAGATGGCCCAATACTTATCGATCACCCTTTCGATCGTATAATTTTGAAATTGAATGGGTCATGACTGCTGATTTTGTCAGTGGAAGTAAACATACTGTTAAGATGTATAATATAAAAAGGGGTTTTGACTAGTCGTTGTTAGATCAATTAAGGTGTCAGTTTTGAGTTTTGATGTACCACTGTATAATGAACGAAAATCCTATGTCCGGCAAAAGTTAAAAACATCGGCACCATGTCGAGAGTGAGGTGGACATTAGTGACTTTTTTATTAACACGAGGAGCATTATCTGACCTTTTCTCCATAACAATACATAGTAAAGACTTGCTATCAATACCAAATATTCTCCGAGCTAGTCATGTCAAACTGACGTACGAAAGACAAATTAAAAATGTAAGGACACAGAGTAGAAAATACGTTTTCAAACAAGAACATCGGACAGCAAGGATAAAGTAAAAGCGATTGCTTGACATGATGAAAAATATTAGAATTTAATGTAAACTAGTGCACTAGAAGCAGTATTTCATCTCTGTCGATCGATGTTATTTTAATTTATTGGCAACTATTTTATTAAAATGTTCTAAAGATTTATGCCGTCTTTGATCCTCGTCGAAAACGATACTGTGAGCAACTTATAATTTGATTGTCTTACGAGAAGACATTTGATAAAAAGTATAATTGCTTTAACAATAGCTTTTAATTTTATCATTTAAGAATTCATTAAAAATTACAACTGATGTTTCAGTTTTATAAAAAGAACGATTTTCAAGATACAGCCAAGTTAAAAAGCTCAAAATGTACGTGTTAGACATGAGAACTGTAAAATTTACAGACTTATGATGACTAACCTATCAGACAGGATTAGGCGTGTTTCTGACTGTTAAAAGTATATATACAAGGATAACATTAACTATGTGCAGATGACAAAAGTAATAGCTGAAAAATTGACTGTTCTTATATATCATCTTTTAACTTTTCGTATTTATCTATGTTAGTTCCACTTTTACTTTGTCTTTCCTCTTTATTCGTGAAACTAAAATAGGTAGGTACGAAAAGTTAAAAGATGATATATAAGAACAGTCAATTTTTCAGTTATTACTTTTGTCATCTTTTATATTCTTTTAACAGTCAGAAACACGCCTAATCCTGTCTGATAGATTAGTCTAAGCCTTTTTTCATGAAATGAACTGTTTTCCAAAAACTAAAAACCAGAATTTTCGCTCAAACTGAATGTTGCGAGAAAATTCTAACTCACATATCATCTGATTCTATTTGTGTCGCTGATACCAAATATGAGGTTATTGTTGATGAAAAGTTACATTCTGACAGCAAAACTGGCAAAATACTAGCCCAGTTTTATGGTTTTCTCCACTGATTTTAAAAAATTGAATTTCTCTCAAACAAAGTAAAATTTCTCAAAAAGAATACATAACCTTTATCCTCGCATCATAAAGAGCACAATGAAATAAAACCTAGAGATTCCCACTGGCCGAAAAGTTTTGGTCCGGTCCGATGCGGAATCCGGCCTAAGCCCGGATCGGCCCGACTAAACGGGGAATTTATCAGGCCCGGCCAATCTTAAAACTTTTCTGGCCCGGCCACTTTTTAAAATTTTCTGTCCGAAGCGAGGTGTTTTTCTTCCATCTTTTGCTGGCTAAGTGCTGCAAACGTAATTCCCACGGTACAGACATTTAGAACGTATTTTGGATCAGCGCTTAACTTGGAACTAACAAATAAATTACGTAAAAATGCGTTTGCTTTGCCCATGATCTACCTTGTTGAATAATATAACATTAATTACCGCATCACCACACACTACTGAGCTCATTCTAAAAGTGTCAATTACTCTTATCCCAGAACAAAACATCCTTATCGTAAAGAACGTCCATAAATAATGACATAAATAATGACATAAACGACACTTAAAGTTTCACTTAACATTCTTTAGTTCTTGTTCTATTCTATTTACTGTTGTTTGTAGAGAGGAAACGTTTCTGGCATTTTGCAACCCTCGATAAATAAATAAATTAATATAATACAACGAAAACTCATTGCAGCGCGTATTTCAGCAAGGAGCTGCAACAGCTTACAATAAACGTAAGTATCACGTCTCTCATCTATAGTCTTTCACTCGTCTTGTATCACTAAACCATTTATTCTTTACGAAAACCCTTAATTGCGAGCCCAGTATTTTATGGCTAGAATACAATCCAGTCTTCGACATGAAGACTAGCACATAGCACACAAAATGAAAGCTCTTGTCTAGAATTCAGAATCCAATTTTCATATCACTTTACACAACGAAGACTTGATGTTGAACCTTGTATTATAGGGATAAACCAGTCTCGATAACTACACAACCTCGTAACTCTGCATTTGTCAACAGCTTTAGCCTGGTTGGTAAAGAAAAAGTTGTAAAAGAATGGAGAGTACCGGTGTGATGCTGCATCGAATCATTTTACAATACATTCTTACTTTACTTTATGTAAGAGACGAAGGGCACCAAAGAACCAAATTTTATCCCTTGGCTTTAGATTAATGACTTTGTGCGGTATTACTCGATTGACCTGTTCAAGAAGAATCTCTTCAACTGCAACTGCTTTTTCAGCAATATTATTATAACTTTTTAAGAGGGTATCTAATAGGATCCTACTACAAATATTGTTCAACAGCGCCCAGTTTGCGGCTTTATAATCATAAATAGGCATGCACCGGTTTCGGTTAACGGAAACCGATCATAACCGACACCGAACATAATAGAAATTGATCAAGACGGTCTTGCTTGACAAGGCCGGCTTTGTAAAAACTAGATTTAATTTTCTTGGTATTTTTTTCAGCCAAGTGAAGAAGGAAAATTAAATATTTCAACAAGGAATGCAGTCGGTTTAGATATATGCGTAAGAAAGCAGAAAAGAAAGGAAAAGAAAAGAGTAGAAAAGAACAAAAGATGAACAAAATGAAGTATATTTTGATCAGCTGGTAACAGAAACGTCTAACAATATAGTGATGTCAGAAATAAAGTACTACGTTTTCGTTTAACAAAACCAAAAATATATCAGACAACAAACAGATAGTACAAGGTTAGAAAAGAATGATAGTCTGCTGCTGTTATAATGATATTGCGTTAATCCAACCTGAGTTATATGACCTCTTCCAAAAGCAACGTTGAGACTACGTCTTCTTCACCCGCGTCTATTCATTATGATCGGTTTCGGTTATTCGGTTAAAAACCGAAACCGGTGCATGCCTAATCATAAATAGTCCGCGTTATTTTAGTTTTACGTACTGTTTTTGTTTTAACATTCAATTGGATGAAAGTATGATCACTTTGTCTACCTTAACTATAGAAACGCACTATAATTGGACGAATTTTACCATTTGTACGTTTGCTAATTCGATGTAAATTTTCGATATCATCATAACTAATGGATTCATTATCTAAATGTTGATTAACAGTATTGACAAATACTGCTGTTTTATTTCCATTCATTGTTTCAGGTACACACCACGTTCGATTATACAGTTCCAAATCATCCATTTGTTGCTCTAATGATTTAACACGTTCTATTGTTTCTAATATTGGACTCACGAGCACATCTATGAATATCACTACTGACAGCATTTTGTTGTTATGTATACATATTTGACATTGAACTTCGTATGTCGTGATCGTTTCTAACATTCTCAATCGTTAATTGTTTTAATTTGTCAGAATCCAACTTTTGTGAACGAAGAGCTTTTCTTCCACTGTACATCTCGAAGTTGTTGTTAAGTTCAAACTACTACTAGGCATGTTCATAAAGATTTAAATTAAAAAACGAAGTTTAGATCTTACACTGAATTTTAAACAAACAGCTATAACAAGAATTAGTTTAGACACTCATACGAAAGTATGTCTTTACTTGATGAATAAAAAGACAGAATGGAATGGTGGCTTCAGGGTAAACTATTAAACAAGTATCTGGTACCAATAGTTAATCGTATTGGCTCTCAAATCATCATTTAGTCTGAAATTTACCGTTAGTTGTTTATCATCGGCACCAGCTCTTGCCAATAGAGAGATGAAAATCCTTCTAAAAATACAAAATCTTTTTTTATAAGCTGACTCGGGTTTTGAATTCTTTCTCCAATTCTTAGTTACGTTTATAATCTTCATCCGTGAAATAAGTGGTTTTGATACAGTCTCGTTAAAGAAATTGATTTGATCCTTTGGCTATACATATTGTGGTTCCACATCAGGGTATCAAATTCGGGATAAGAAGAAAAATTTTAAAAGTAGAATATAATCAGAAATAATAATTTAAGAAGCAAAAAAAATCAGACGTATTATTTTTAACGCATTAGTTGCGAAAAAGAGAGCAGCTGTTACTTTTCTCAGTAGCTTGATATTTCAAAATTAGAACTACGTATAAAAACCAGCAATACTTTTTTGTATTTCGCACTTCTTCACAACTAGTTCTACTAATCTGAGAATGTTTAAATCTATTTTTATTTTGACTGCTCTGTACCTCACAGCCAAATGTGAAATAATATCGACATATCCGGTTGCTGAAAATATAGAATCATCAATTTTCAATGAAGCCGTTATGTCTGTTAAACAATTTTTTGATGAACTAACTCATGCACAAGTGACACGTGTAGAACGGAAACCATTGGAAAATAAATGGACAAATTATAAATTAAATTTTGAAGGTTTGTTATACAATCGTACAAAGATAACATGCCAGATCAGTATTAATCATACAACGGCTGATCCACAGCCTAAGGAACGTTATTCAATGATAAAATGCGATGCGAATGATAAATTGTACTTTTATGAAGATGTGAAACTTGATGACGAAGAAACGGCAGCATTTATGGATGTTCTTAACTCGGACTTCAATGCTATTGCTTCACACACGATTAATCCAAAATTACTACGTGTGCAGTTGAAGAAACAGGAACCGATATTTGCAAACAAGAATGGGTTTAATCTCAGAATTTATTGGAGTGGTTCAAAAAGCAATGTGTAAGAAAAAATATAATTTCTAACAACGTTAGTTGATACCAAAATTGAAGCAGTTTTGCATAGGTATGCGCCAGTTATAGTTAATTGTAAAACTGTAACTATCATAAATGTATAGCTGTTATAACTGTAACTGCTCATAACTGTAGGCAAATACTCTAGAGTGAGTTGGTCTTCTACGATTTGCATACATTTTAAGAATGTTACAGTTATAATAGTTACAGTTAACTGGTAAAAAGCTCTAACTGGACATAGCTAGTTTCGCATGATCAGGTGTTCCCCTTCCTACAGTGGGCATTCAGGTGAAAATTCAGCCAAAAACAGAAAAAGAGGCTTTTTTTTGATTAAAAATACATAAAGTTAATAATCACCGATACGTTGATTAATAATACTCGTAGAAATTTCGGCTTTCACCAAATAAGGGGCACGAGAAAACACTTTGACAAAAATTAGCCTGAAATACAGTAGTATAAGGCAAAATTTCGTTTTTCTTGGATCGAAAGAAGTTACAATAAAAATGATACAGACTAGGAATCTGAACTCTTCCAGCTATATATTATTAGCAAAAGTTTATTTCGTTTTGGATTTATTTGTTCCGGAGAAACCAAATTATTTTTCAAGCTAACCAAGTTTCTGTCGATCTGTTATCAGTGTAAGGAATTCTACAATTTCCATATCATCAACCTGATCCAAAAAGATGCTAAAAAAAAATGTTCGTCTGTCTAGAGAGAATCGATGGCGCATCCAATTTTATGCAATTTTTTCCAGGACTTCGACGTAAGATTTTCCAAAAGCCTTAGTTTTTCAGGAAAAATCAAATTTTCTCGATCCGGGACTATTTTCTTGAAAAAAGATGTCATATTCGAAATCAACGCCTGACAATGCATCTATTAATGCATAACACAACAATTTTCCGATGAAAACAACGTTTCTGTAAAAATTTTGGCAAAGATACCCTTAGAGATTTTTCTTTTTACTAAACAAGATATAGTGTGCAGTCGACAGTCAAACTAACGAGGGAAGGTCACCAACTGCCACCTCGCTTTTTAGCTCAAAGCTAGTGGGTAATAGGTAAAAAAATGTGCCGAATCCGAATATGACAATGGTTTGGGCCGCTAGGCCTCCAAAGACTAAATTTCTAGAAAACCAGTTTTCCAGAAACTCCAAAAACTCTCCAAACTTTTCTTAATAAGTTAAAATTGTAGAGCGCGAAATTCTGATCAAAATGAGACATTGCCCAGCTCTACATGACATTTCTTTGCAAAGTTATGGAATTTACAAGAAAAGCCCTAAATCAATTTTTTCCTTCTTATTTTTGTAGCTTTGAGCTGACAATGAACA